AGGGGGCACCAGACGCGCCCAAGAAGGTGGCGTCGCAGGCAGGGGACAAACCACAAAGGAGAAGGGACCGAGACCAGGGAGGACCAAGTCTGAAGCGGGTGGCAGTTAGGGGAAACAGAAAAGAAGTGGGCTGCTGGTTAGGGCTGTCGGGGCAGCCGAGGACCCCGTCCCCCCCTCAGCCCGCTGCAGGGTGGGCGAGGGGCCTGGCAGCCGCGTTACTGCCGTTCCCCGGGCCTGGAGGTAGAAGTCTGAACCTCCAAAGGCTGTAAGGAGCGAGTACCACAAATTTAGGTTTTTTAGAACCAGAGAGGGCAAAGGTGCCTAGGAGCCAAGGTCCCGGTGGGACGGCTTAGAAATGGCTCGAGGTGGGCAGGATCGGGCGACCATGCAGAGGCCTTTCAGCCTGGGTCCTGCTGGAAGGTGGGGCCTTCACAGCCTCCGAGGGCAGGCAGACCTCAGATAAAAAACAACCTGGAGGGGTTTTTAGGATTTTTAGACCTTGTGCTTAGACCTGGCTTTGAGATTGTAATCCCTCCTCCACAGTGCTTCCCCTCCCTTCCTCAGATAATTTCCACCTGACCTTCTCAGGTTTGCCCTCCTCTCTGGAGAGCATCCTCCCTCTGCTGTGACTGTGCGTAGCAGCCCGGGCCTGGTGGCCAGCCTAGGCTGCACCTCACCCATCTCATCACAGCCCTCTCCTTGCTGGAGTCCTTCCTTGGACTTTCTACTTCAAAAAGTCCCTTGTCACCCTAGGAAATGTGCTCCCCATGCTTGGTTTGGGTGGGGCGACCACACACAAACGCGCACTAACACATGTACTCTGCTGTGGCACCCATCCTTGCCGAGATGGATACCTTCTGCCATCACAGCTCCCGTCTCGGCTGTAGCTTGGTGGGGCCCTGGTCGGGGAGAAGGGGCAGCAGGTCATTTGGGTTCTGTGCGGTGTCCGCGGCATGGCAGGGTGGGAAGTGGCTCGAATGGCTGCCAAGTCCTCAGACCTGGCTGGGAGATGCCTGTAAAACTTTGTGCTCTCTGGATCCTGGGCCTCGTTTCCACCTGCCTGTGTATTCCCTTCCTCCTCTCCTAGACTTGATAATCCCCTCTTCCCCTGATGGATAATGCACTTGCTCCAGTATGGTTAGAAGCTGCTTTCGGATAAGGATATGTGGCCATTCGCTTCCCCACAGTGAATAGGTGAGAGGAAAGGAACAATAGAGATAAGGGCCTTCCCAAAGGGCACTGAGTCCAGAGAGCAGGCATATTGTATAGTCCAATGTTCTAGCTTGGTCTTAAAGGCAGCTGAGAAACAGGAGGGCTGAACTGGCCACCTGAGATGGGAGATGCCTGTGCCAGCTTGGTGGCTGTTTTAAATCCGTGTGAGGATACCTGCTCTAGAAGTGGGACGGCCTTCCTCTTCAGCTGCAGGATGAGTTTGTGCTCTCGAGTCAGAACTACCAATATCCAGTAGTGTCCCCCCTCAGAAACCCCAAAGCCATTGGTATTCCCATTCCTCATCAGAAGTGACAGATCATAAAGAGAGTGTTCATCTACTCATCACATTTTAGCTGAGCCATCCTCCTCTTTGGAAGCAAAGCTGGAGTCTCAACACCACCCCTACTGTTGCCCTTTTCTCCTGCTCCCAGTGAAGCTTATTCCCCCAAACTCAGCACCATTTGGTGCCTCTGCCAAGGGCCCCACGGCATGTTGCACTGGGGTGAGCAAGACCATTCTCCGCAGTTCTTCCCTGAGCACAAGCGGCCTGATTTGGTCAGTGCTGCAGGCTAACAAGCCCCCAAACTTCTTCACAGGCCCTGCCGCACAGAGGAAAGGTTCAATGTTACGGGTGATAGTACATTGGACATACAGCGTGGGCAATGGTCTTTACAGGTGTAAGTCAACCAGGTAGCAGAGCTATTGTGGGATGCATTAGGTGTCAAAAGAGATCCAATGCACAGATGATGTGGACAGTCAGGGATTTTGGCCTCAAGGAACTGATGGGAAGGTTTAAGGGACAGTATACACAGTCGTTATTACTTAGCGCTATTAGCATATCAACTTTGACTTTTCTTCAACAATTGCTTTAATGACCAGAATATTTAGTTTAATGAGACTCAAAATCTTAAAACCATGAAATATGGATAAAATTGTACCTAAGCAAAACCATTAATAGGCATGGGGAACTAGCTGTACGTATTTCATCTGTGCTCATTGTGTTAAATGTTGTTTTTAAAGCACTGCTGGAGAGAAACGTCGATGTCAGGGAGCAGCAAGAGCAGGGCTGCTTCATGGGGGAAGGCAAGGCGAGGAGCTGCAGGGAGCCCAGTACGGTCATCCCTTTCTGGCACTGTGCAGTCCCCAGCACCCCAGGGAGGTGAGCAGAGGAGTGGTGATGGCCACAGCTCCCTTGACGGTCCAGCAATCCTCAAACAAAGGCTAGATGATGAGTCAGGTCTGCCATCCATCAGGGAAATCCAAATAACAATTCAGAGACAGCAGGG